TTTAAGGCAACAGAGGGCGCTATCACAGAACAGGGAAAAATTAATCTACATATTTATTTCCCCTCCCTTGTGAAAAACACACTGCACCGAGCTTTTTCAAAGTTTGCTTTAATAAAGTGACGGGTTTGTTTCTTGTACTATGCATTTGAATTTAATGGTGCAGTGTGTTTTTTTTAAATATACATTACCCTGGAACTCATTACATCTGCTGTCTATTTCAAGTTCTCAGAGGCGATTTTGGTATTTTGATTGTTTACTGTCCACTTATAACTGTTGATCTTTTTTTTTTTAGGCTTAACCCAATAAAGGATTCCTTTTTCAAATTGCTTAGAAATTGTACACGGCGCCATGTTAACAACTGCTTTTAGCAAATATGTGTTCTTTTTGAGTGTAAAAGTCCAAGTTGCGAAGTCTAATAATAGACAGCAGATGTACTTATGAAATAAAATCACACAACAGCGACAACCTACACTTTATTCAGCTAAATGTTTGCACAAATCTACACTAGCACATCATACAGTACACAAATCTATGCCAAAGATTTTTTTCTTGATAATTTCTTGCAAAATAGACAGCCGATACTTTGAAATGAAATTACACAACATTAAACAAGGTTTTGTTTTATTCACTACACTAGCACACCACATACTAAATATTTACATGTGCCAATAACCAAAATACATGAACTTTTTACGTATTTTTCAATCCTCTCTGGTGCATGTAATTTTATTTAAGTATTGTTCTGTCAAATTACAAAACATTTCACCAAAAAAAGGAAATTTTATCACATTGGTTAAAATTTTTTCTCTCACCATTTGGATGGCAAAAACCCAAAGGGAAAAAAGCTGAGTACTAGAGTTATTGTTTCGATGGAAAATGCCAAGTTGACCAATTGGATTTCTCAAGTTAAATAACATGCTTTAAATAAGCTTTTGGTTAGAATAAATACCAGTGAAAAATACTGAGTACAAGTTTCAATGCGATGTGCTAGTGTAGACAAACTTACACACAAGGACTGCAATAGGATAACACCAGGCACATGTCGGTATTTCACACCTTTTCTTTTTGCAGCGTGATCTTTCAAAAGCAGTGTTTTGTAATTATTTTGGCTAATTTTGTTCGGTGGTTAACCACTTGACACCGGATGACGTGTAAACGCATAATTCTTATTTGTTCCACGAAGGACGCGTACACTCGTTTCAGAATGTATTTTTCATTTCCACGGTTGATGTACCGATGCCTCATGCTTTGTTGGGTCAAAGTGCAGTTGCAAGGTTGAAGAATTTGTGGGTAAAAAAAAAACCGCCCCCAGCAGCGTTTTGGGTAAAGAAAATCAAATGTTAACTGGCTATCAGAACACAAGCCAAGTTCCAACTTGTTTTTATGCTTGAACTCGGTGTAAAAGTTGACTTGTTTGTTTTTTTATCATCGACATGTACCTGGTTCTTGAAAAAATGTTTTGAGTATCAATTTTTGGGCAAATCCATGGCAGAGCAGCTGAGCATACAGGTTTTGGACTAGATTAGATTGTTGACTGTCTCGACTGAACACAAAAAAGTTTGTTTAATTCGGCCTGTTTTTTCTGGATACAAAAACTTCAGCATTAAAGTTTGATGTGCCAGTCGCGAGTAAACTTCTGTATTCTCAACAGCAATTTGGTTAATCTAATGACATCTGCCCCACTGCCATTGATTTGCCTTTTTTCTGAGACAAGTCCGTCCAAGTTGCAAAGACGAGAGCTCATCAGGTTGGCATCAGAATGAGACATCAGTCAGGGAGTTCTGCATCTGTGGATCCTTGTCTCCCAAAGCTTGCCAGTTTTTTTATGCAGAGAAAACACACAAATCTTGAATTAGTTTCTTTTAATGCAATTTCATTACGGCAGGGTACAGGATACATTCTTACATTGTATTTGCTCTGATTTGAAAGTAAGGCAACAGAATCAGGGTGGCCCGAAAAAGATTCTTTTGAGCAAGTCTTAGAAAAGAGATTAGAAGGGCAGTTCGGTTGCCCACAAGTTAGTTTCGAAAATGTAACTTTTAGTCTCCAAAACAGGAACAATTCTTATTCATGCCAAGGCTGAAATCACTTTATCAAGTTATTTAGGATAAGACCAAATAGTCTCATGGCCTCTCAATTTTTCATGCGACTTTTTAGTTGCTGTAAACAGCGCAGGAAAACTTGACCACCCTGTATACTCCAATCTTGTTTATCTGCCTCACCTCAGAAGTTAATCCCCAACAGCAATCCATTAATAACGTTTAAACCAAAGATGTTTTGGGTTTTTTGCTCAGAAATAAGCAGAATCCTGTACCCTGCCAATTCCCGATCGTATTTGTAGCATTTGCTTTCAAAAGAAGGGAAGAAATTGGCCACTTTTCCAACCTATAAATCTGCCTTAGTCAAAAATCAAGTTCTCGGTAGCTTTTTGTCCAGTCACGGCATTCTCAATATTTCAGATTTGAAGAGCAGAAAGCAAAAAGGAATCCAGTTTGATGGTGTTTTCTCACTGCTCGTTAAATTGATTAACCTGCTAATGGGTGAATTGAGGGAGGGGTGTAAACACTCTTCTCCACCACCCCACCTTGCTTTGAACTAGGTTTTGTTTGCAGTACACGATGTGGCAGTCCCCAGATCATGCTTACCAAATTGTTTTCAGGGTTAGTCACAATCAATACTGATGAGTTGAGTCGAGTTGATTCAGTAGCGTTCAATACTTTAATCAGCCCAATTATTTTATATTTTCTTGCTCATCAAAGTTGTAACCAGAGCAAGTAAACTAGCAATGCTGCATACTTGTTTTTATTCATAGAGTTAGCTGTAACCACATACATGTGCACAGGGTGGGGGGGTTGGAAAAATTGGACCCGAAATTGAACAAACTAGATATGTTTCTATAAGAGATGCTCCTATAGGAGGTGGAAACATGATTTTCTACTGATGCTATCACAACACAATCAAGCTTTCCAAAAATGTCCTTTTTTAAAGCAAGGTCAAAGACAGTTTGTCCAGAATCATGCATGTTGCTCCTGGTTTTTACCAGCCTAGATGTCTAAATAGCAAAAATGAACCCACCTCCACCTCACATTAATGAGTCTACAAGGCCTTGCAATACAATATATATCCCAGCCTCCTAAAAACTTTGCCACTGGGGGAAAAGTTATGTCATTGTCCAACAAAGTATCCCGGCAAGAAAAGATTATTTTTCAACTTTCTTTCCGGTGCATGAAATCCTGTTTAATATTCCATTCAGTCATGCTTCCTAATCAACCAGATTAATTCATTTTAATAGTCAAATGTGGCAATACAAGTTTGAGGTTGGAAACTGGCTTTTAAAAGCAGGCTGAGGTACTGTTGGCCTAACTTATTTCCCTCTTTCTTACATTTTACAGTTCCATGCATTGGGCTATTCCAGTCTAATTTTTGCAAAAATATTGAAGCTGTACAACATTCAACAATGTTCTCAAACAACTACTTAGCTACACTATAATTTTGGTCAGAAATTTGGAAGATTCAAAAGACTGAAAAAAGGCAACAATGTTAGGTGTACTTGCGAGTTATCGAATTAAAAACAAAATGAGACTGGAATAACTATTGTTTTGCAGCTGTGTGATTTTTACACAAATGGTACCGCATGACCAAATATTGTTGCTGTTACAAACTTAGAAAAAAGCTAGACACTGGATAAATGAACATATAGAGTTCAATATACGGTAGATCAAGCTATCAATGACTGCTTGAGCTGAGAAATGAATTTTTAACCCTAACACTCCTCAATCCTTCACCGGTCGGAGGACTGAGAGGTGTTAGGGTTAAAAGGTAAAGACAATGTGGGACTGGCCCCAGACTCCGCCAGCATAGCTGACACCCTGATGTGAGGCTTTTCCAAGAAGAATGGGGTTCCCACGAGAATCCAAAACAGAAATCAAGAAAAGATGGACAGAGTCGTTACAACAAACCACACAGCTGCAACCGACGATAATAATGAATCCTAATTTACGTATAAAAAAAATGACCACCCACCTACATAATTCTTGCCCCTTAAAACAAGTTGGTTTTCATTGATGAACTGATGAAACAAAGTTCTTAATTGAGCTTAACAGCCCCATCTCATATTTCCTTGTAGGTAACAAATTCAGAAACCAGGTGCACAAGTTGGCCTGCAAATTATTCTATCAGCACTTTTGAAGAGTTCAAATGCAAACACAAGACATTCAATGAATACTTTTTGAGAAAAATATTGGTTAGAAAGAACAGTCAGCTTTATGAACGAATACAAATGGAGTGCTCATTATAAGAAATTGCATTTAATTTTGATTCAAAATAAATTCAAACTGCTCAAAAGACGAGTTTTTACTTGGATGATAGTCATTTGAAAAAAGACTTATCTGCTTTTGCATTTGGACTGTCAATTAGAGACTGAGAAACTGCACAAGGACGTTGCTGTGATAAATTGGAACTGTTTTAAGTTACAAGACCCCTTTCTGCAGTGAGCTGACAAGATGCTAGTGTGGATAAATTGTCACAGGTAACCCTCTCCAAGTTTGCAGAGCAAATTGAGAGGACCTTTCACAAAGGCATTTGATGCTGGATGGCCTGTCACAAGCTGCTGAATGACCCCTCTGTATTGCTGACAAGTTCAGCAATTTAACCATATCTGGCTCGTAGACTACGGTCATTACACCAACATACATTCCACGACCATCGCCACAAAACCTATGTTGGATGGCTGTGTGTGGTGACCTACAGACCCATGGCCATCACCACGAGAACCTAGGTCGGCCACACTAGAGACTAGACCACTCACTAGATGCCTTCAAAAAATATGCCAAGATGGCAGGATCATGATCAAAAGCACTTCTCTCACACCTGCACACAGCTTTGCGGCCAGGGAACTTTGTGTAGACTGATTACATGTATATGCTGATGTATATTCCACGGCCATCGCCACAAAACTTACATCAGCCAAGTGTACTACATTGCCACAAACTACTTACTATGTGCCTGCAATGACGCTAAGACAAGCCTGATGGAGACTCGAGATATTCATAAAACAGCAAACGTCTCAAAAATCTGAATATCGTCTCATAATTTGTGATAATCAAGGGCCTTGTGCACTTTCTTTTTCTGGTTTTTAAAACTCTTCTATTTTGCTTTTTTTCTTCCAGTGGAAAGATTTTATCTTGATACCTACACAAATTCACAGTGCACAAGTCACAATTTCTAGGCCACACCATGTTTGTACCAAATCACTTGTTCAGTGATTGGTGCATACCAGTCATGACGATGAGATAGCTTTCTCCCAGACAGGGTTGCCAAAGTAAAATCTTTCCAACAACTTTGTGTAGCAGACCAACTTATTGTCCTAATACCCAAAGTCACTTAATGCTTAGATCTTAAAAATTTCAATTTCAATTTTTTTCTAACAAAACAGCTTTCTCAAGAAAGCTGTAACTTTTTGTCTGCAGCCAAAGTAGAGCTTGAGAGCATTAATTTTGATCTGCATTAGAGTTCACAAATTTATCCCTCACACAGCAATCAAAGCTGCCATAATTTAAACAGTATCATCATCAGTTTATATTGCTACTTCGGGAAATTTTTCAAAATGCCGCTCCCTTGTTGAGCGTTTAAAAAATATGACCTGTTTAAAAAACTTACCCCATAACCAATTTCAAATTTAAATTTTAAGGAAACTTAATATGTAACCCAACCTGACAAAATGAGTGACAAGTCCCCAGAGCAGCTGTGGAGGAAAAAGCCTTTAAGAGAATCTTGCATTGTGATCAATGAGCCAAATATTGTCCACTGTTATCAAGATGCTAAAATGGATACCAGTCACATGTACAAAAAAACAACTAATTCTCATCAGGACACTTCCAATTCTGACATTATCTTGTGAGCAAAGCCAAGAATGACAAACATTTCTAACCCAATTTGCAGATAGACAGTATTCTCACCAAGCAGGTGCATTAAGGCCAGCATACCACTAGGTGGGGCTGGTCCGCACTTCCTGATCTGGCTACCCATACTGTAAGCAGACTTTGTATCGATCCTCAATACCACAGGTGAATTTCACAAGTGTTTCTGTTCTTTATCAAGGCAATGTCCTAGACCTTGGCTTGTCACACGGTGGAGGCCATTGGAAGTTTTTTGACAAGGAAAGTAGCTGTACCATACTTAAATTCCGCAGCACATTTGCTACAATTTTAACACTTTATTAATTTACAGAAATACAAATTTGCCTAGGACTTGTCCAAATTGGCCAAGACGGAAGCACTGATCTTTACAAAATCACAAGCTCTTTATAAACTTAAAAACTATACATTAACCCTAACCCCCAAAGGGCTGCTGGCCCTAACCTTCCCCAATCACACAAAGTTAAACACCAATATATGGAGGCTGTTGGACTTTGTTTTTCTGAGGTATGCCAAATCCAATGCAAAAGCTAGCTGTTATGGACCTACCAGACCTATCCCTACAGAATTAAACACTTTACTACTGTTTAATTCTGCGTGGTTGGGGAAGGTTAGGGTTAACTTATACATATCCCAACCAAGTACATCACACAGAACCTAATCTTTTCCAGATGAAAAAGAAAATATTTTTTAAAAACCTACTGGCACCTGGATCTGCACATTTTCTTTCTACATATGTACAATTTATTACTATTCAAAAATAACGCCTAAAGATTGTTATCTGAATACCAATATTCTTCCACTTAATCGAAGTGTGATTACTTGCCACCTTGGAAATCACTGGACAAATTTTTAGTATTACAGTATCATTAAATGTACATGAAAATATGAAAATCGTCCCACCTTGTCTGGCATTTTGCATAGCACTAGGGAGCAACTATATTTTGGGTTGGTCTATTTATTGCAGGTTACAGAAAAAAAGCCGGTCCAATGATCAGTAATAGTCATTCATTTAAAAATGTTTAGGCCCTACACTTGGAATTCAAAAGTAGTTTCAATTTTGTTAGAAAATACTTGAAAACTACCCACTAACTGTACAAACGCGAGACATCAGGAAGCAATCATGGTTCATCATTTGGAAAGAGTTCCATATGCAGACATCAGTTGTTTTCCCCTGCGGTTGTTTATGAACCATCACAAAGCAATAACACATCTTAAAAGGTCACATTTAACTGGAAAAATATTGAAGCATTTACTTAGAATTTTTCAGACCAGTCTCAAAGGTTTGTGCAAAGGGTATTCAGTGATGTCTGTGTATGGAACTCTTTCCTTTTATTCAGCGGAAGCTATTCGACGGTATAGTTGAGCTCGGTCAATTTTGAATGTCAAATCTAATTGGAAGTTCCAAATAAAAACACTTCTCACCTTTTAGACAAAAAAGGGTTAAACCTAACCGTTCTGAGTCCAACAAGCATATGCATGATTTCAATGGTACGGGGGAGGGTGAAAAGTAAGACTGACTTGTGTACTAAAGGTACATGTATGAAAATCATTTTCAAGGAGTAAAAACTGCAGAGAAATTGGTCCGTGCCTTTCAAAAAAATCTTTCAATCTTTCTAAATTTTCCGGTCCTACCCAAAGCACACTGGACAGCTGACACGTAAAAAAAAGGAACTTAACTAGTCTTCAGATGTGAAGCTTGTTTACATGGGAAAATGCAGCATTGCCAATTGTAAAAAAGAGATCTTCTAGTCATTTGGAGTCTCAAAGATTTTTGCATGAGCAAAGTAAAATGAAAGCCACATCATGAAAGAAAACTGATACCATATTTTTGGGGGGTGGTTTCCCTCCGACATATATCAATTCAATACATCTGTTCGAAAACCAATGTGGATATTTAAGCATCTCTGGTCAACAGAACAGTATCTTTGAAATTATACACTATGCTGACTGCTCTCATCAGTGAAAATGCTCTTATTGATACTGAGGATCAATAGTAAGAGAATAGAGATGAATAAGTATCTCATCATTCAATCTCGGCAAAAACATTTGAGCTAGAGTTCTGGGATATTATCAAAAAAGACTCTTGAAGAAAGACAGCCGGAAACAACTGGATTTTTAAACAAGGCAGATTTATGCTACTTGTAGGCTATGTTACTTCAGCAACAGATTGAAAGAACAGCAGAATGAGAAACTCCAAATCTGGCCAGCAAAATTTCAAGTTACTTTGATTGTACTTGAAAAATATTAAAAAGGATATTTTTATTCTGGTTTATTTTGTTTCGCTTGTTTTCTGATGGGGTCTTTGGTGAGGAAAGAATTTTAAAAACTGGATGCCAAGTTATGTACCCCTAAAGAATGGCCTGAAATCATCTTTCCCACTGATTTCTAACGTGTCACTCTCAATGAAAACACCAGTGAAGACTAAGAGAAAGTAGCTGTATTGTGGAGTGAATGTGCAGTGGCAAGATGTGGAACTGTTCTTTCAAACACACTATTAAAACACTGATTTTCAATGCTATGTCTTTTTGAGGAATTATCTTACGCCCTGCTCCATCAAAACCACAAAATGCATTAGCGGCAGGAAAGAAATGCCACAAAGTTCATCCTGAACAAGTTTGTACAATGGTGATGACACTTAGAGTCAAGGCCATCGTTAGAGGTTAGTTTTGTGGGCAAAGTTATGATCTGTAGGCAAAATAAACATCAGGTAGGTGTCGCGCTAGGGTTCAGACTACAGAACACTCATTTTGCGTGACAATTTTGATGTGGCACCCCTCCATGCAAAATGGTCTGGGACACCCATGCTGAGAGAGGCTTTTTTTTTCTACATTCTCAAGCATCCGACTGACTTTGAAAGTGAGGCGGCCTCTGACTCCATTTAGTTAATGCTAAAGTACACCAATGTGGATGGAACACTGTATTACTCCACTTTGTCACATGTTCAAGCAGAAATCTGTATAGAACGGTTTCGCTGCCGCATTGTTACATTTCATTTGATGGAAATTTGATGCAGAACTCTTTTTAACTGCACTTTGTCAAATTTTCATTCATTCAGACATGTTTAAGTAACTCTCTTGTTGGCAGCACTCAAATTTATTCTGACAGCAGTGGATGAATTGTTGTTCATCTTTCAATACAGAGTTTGATTTTGATGGAGCAGGTCATATCAAATTAAAGACTTGCCTTTCTTTACAGTGTGCACAATTTATCTTGAGAAGCTAAACATCTTGTGGGAATTCTCGTTTCATCGGTAATGTGTGTTAAATCTGCAGAAAAAAATTAAGAGAAAACAGTTATATTAGGCCTACGGGAGGTGTCAAATGGGTGGCAGTCAACTATGCAGGCTTGGGAAACTGGTTTAAATCTGAATTGCGTTTGAAATCACTGTTTGTAAAAATATTGAAAACCTTGGAGCAGTGGGTAAGAATTCATGTAGGCCTATCAGGTAAACGAATGCAATATCCATTACTTTCATTAGAATCTCAACAGTCAAAAATTCCTTCCACTTGATTTCCCCCATTACACAGACACATATGGGGAAATTTGATTGGTTTTGACTGATAGGACAACTGGTTCAAGAATGCGTCTTTGCATAGAAGGGCTGTTAGAGACTGCAGCAGGAACATAAACGTTGAAGGATTTTTCGTGTTGGCCTACCTGTTAACCGACTGTAAACGGTGCCGTTTTGTGCTGGCTTTAGGCCTAACAGCTCAGAAAATGAAAGTGGCGGTCCGTGAAACAAACAACATTGTACAGGTGTAAAGAGGAAATGGCTTCAGTTCTGCACAATTTGAGTCTTCTTGGAATTTGCAAACACAGACATTTGAAAACTGAAATGTATGGTCCAAACGTTCAACACGTCCGCAGCAGACAAAAACTCGGCGGTAAATGCAATGGCGTACCTAACCCACGTGAGTGGCCGAACATTCCACGCGTTGTTAAAAAAGAGCGCCAAAATGTCCACACCCAGCATGGTGACTCTCCCAAATTTAAGCCACGGGTTAGTCAGGTATGAGTTGGACTCCAGACCATAAATTTGCATATTATATCTCTTACAGCGCAACTCAAAACCTCTTCTAAGCAGCACCTGTGGGACACTGCCTGCTGGCATTTATTCAAATTAGGCTTTGGTTCTTAAAAAAAAAATTGGATCTGGAAACGCAAAGGAAAACAGGAGGAAACGTGAAGAGAAAGCCAAATTCAAAAGAGGAAAGATGAAGCGGATATTAAAGTGGACAACTGTAGGAAAGGCCTCGTGATCTTATTTTTACATATCATTAAAAACATTAGGGGAGGGAGAGCAACCACAGATGACTTCAAAAATTTGTTTTTTTCTGGGGAAAATAGTTCAAAACTACCAAGTCCTTTAAGGACTGTCTCCTCTTCATATTCTTGTATGTCTTCATCCTTGATTCTTAGGGTTTTAGCGAGTTCTGTGTTATCAGCATGTAGGTCATTCTATGAATTTGGGTGGAACATGTGTGACATTGTTGTGTCTGTTACACCTGACCTGTGTAATGTAACATGGAATATATCGCTGACTTCAACCTATTTTTTTTACTTCTTTGGCAGACAATTTGCATTATTTAATCACCCTAGGAAGTGTTCCAAACTTTAAAAAATTATGTCAGATTTGTTCCGCGGACATGAAAAAAGTCGGACCCTATACATCTAGAATAACCCATTGCAGTTTTTCCATAGAAAATAATGACACAGAGAACACATGCAAAGAGTGCGAAACCAAACAATATTCAACTTCAGGGTTAATATTTTATTGACATTCATGTACCTAACCTTGGAACATTACGCCAGTACATTTTTCTTTTAATAAAATGTAACACAATGTAAATGAATACAAAAGTGGCAATGGAACATTTCCTTGCACGAATACAGACATAGTAATTCAAAAAAGAAAAAAAAATGGCAAACAAGTACTGTGGAGTAAATCAGGCCTTCCTGAACTCAATAATCTCTACCCTGTAATGCTGGTACCAGTTTGTTTAAAATAACTAGCAACAGCGAGCACTTCTATAATAGGATTAAATGCAAAGATACTATATAAAGCACTGTGACAGACCGCAATGCGTGCTTAAAGTATGAAATAATTCATTTGGGGTGTCAAAATTAATTGGTAAATTTCCCTGACGGAGGTAATGCTTCACAGAGTGATTTTGTGCTGAAGAGAAAACAAAATAAACTTCTCATCAGATGTTACGAAGATCAGAGGAGAAAGATGCTAGTCGACAGCTGACCAATGCCTTCAGAGATCACCTAGCCAGATCCCAAAAATGCTCCAATTTTTATGCTTCTCATTGAGACAATTATGCAACCAATTTCAGGATCTAAATTCCTAACATTTTTCCTAACAGCCTCTACTCATATAAATTAACATGAAACGAAATTAAAATTTCATCTATTGAAAAATGCATCTACACCACATGTTGAGTTCTTGGGTTTCCTGCCAAAAGTATGCTGCTCACCCTATCTCTCCAATAAAATAACAGGTTTGATTGAAAGGGCACCAATGACAGCTAGGTAAAAGCAGACAGAATTGTTAAAGCAATTCATGTGCTTCACTAAAACCAGCAGAGTACCATTCACAAGTAGACATCTCATGACATCTTAGCTGGTAACCTGATTAAAAATATTTTTTTTGCCGTGTCCAAAACAGGATTCCAGAGTTATGGCTTCAATGATTGCAGCACGTGCACAAGCTGTATGTATGTGGAAATGTTGGCCAAGGGTTACCAGTCAAAATCTGTCCAATGAAAGTTCACAGACATGAGCCATCACTGGTACCCTCGAATAGGATGGAGAGAACAAACAAACAACAAAAGAACGTAACAACATAGTTTTTTCGACAGCTATAAAGAAAGCAGTTCCTGGAATTATTCATGCCAGGCTATTCTGCTTCGTGGATTCATAATTAAATTCATTGTTACACTATGTACAAGTCATTTTCACAAATAAAAAATAATCATCTGTGTTATATATTTTGTTAGCGACACTTTTCTTGGCAAAGACACGTATTTAGTTTCACATAGCAAATTCAGTGGACAGGTTCACAGTCTATTAAGGCAAATTCAGGATGTCCAATTTCATTTGACCTAAAATGCATTTGTATAAATATATGAACTCAGTGTGTCCATTGAAGTATTGTAAAAACAGCTCAGCTAATCTCATGGAATTCATATAAAACCCCCAATTTTAGAGTTATTGAGAACAACACAGCAGATTGCTTTCATGCGTGAACACAACTGGCATGCTGATTAATCAAACAAGAATGGCTGAAAGTGATTTCAAAACTTTTCAGCCTCTTAAAAACACAGCATTTTAAGTTTTCCCAGCAGCTCCCGCTCGTTAAACACAAACAGACTTGTGACAAGACAACAGTACAAAACACAGCCAGGCATGGATTTTCCTCTCTCTTCTCCTGTTCACAATTTTGGCGGAAATCTTCTGTTTGACACTTTAACTCATGCATGTCCTGAGGTTTATCTCAACTGCCACAAACAAAAGGTACTTAACGGAAAGACACTTTGCCAATTGTATAAGGGTTTTGGTCGATTAAATAATTTGTTGAAGTTGCAGAAACAGACAGAGACACTGCTGGATTAAAGGACTCCTTTTCTGAAATCGAACAAAGCTTCATTTTTTCCTACCTAACAAGAACTGAAAATTGTAAAAATGCCAGAGAAAAGAGAGAAAATATACGAAGAATTTACATATCATTTATGCAACTTATTCTTGGTAATTATTTTATCAAAAAGTGTAAATCTAAGTAGATTTTAGTGGATCTGCTCTACATCACTGAAGAAAACACACTAAAGAGATACATGTACAAATGATGTTACTGTCTTTAGCATTCAATTAATTATACATTCAACATTTGAAGAAAATATACTCAAGGACTCCAAAAGACCTGAATACCAGGATTTGGAATTATATTTGTTGAGGATTGAGGACTTATTGCATGGTTTACAGGTGACAGAGCCAGAAAACAGCTTACATGTAAATGGTTTTCTGAATATTTGCTAATTTTTTTTGGTAAGAAAGGCATTCATGCTATGAGATACATCCTTGTAAAATCAGACAGAAGTTAAGGGGAGGAAAGTGTTGAATACAAGCGGATGAGATTTTGGCAAGGAAGTCAATTCCATACCATTTGCTTTCATCTGGATTCGACATTCCATCTTGAAATTGTGAAGTTTGAGAGTTAGGAACTTCTGGATTATGCAACAAAAATACACAGAAAAGAGCTTGATCTAAGGCTTGCTTTTCCAGCATGTAATACTTGGCTCTCACTTCAAATCTTCCAAAGCTGAATTTCAAATACAAATAATTAACCTGGAAATGATTGATTACAAATTCCAGTATTGAGTTTAACGTCTTCCTTTTGTTACGATTTTGTCCAATTTTACAAGAACATGTCACATACACAAGCCCCTCATTTCTTCTTAAACTTGAACATGTAAATTCTCAAGTCCAATCTCAGTTCAGTGTGATAAGTACTAATCTCAGGATCTTCTGAAACAAATTTTCGTTTCAATGTTCTGTATAATCGAGAACTACAAAATTACAGAAAAACATACTGCATGCAGCGATTTCAACTATAGACAGATTTATGATTAATACGAAATAATAATACTGTTATTTGTTAACATTGGCCAGCTGTTAAAAATATATAGCTGGTGTTACAAATTTGACTAATATATCTATGTTAAAGATTTTTTGGAACTAAGTGACAATTATCTTTTCCTTTTCATGGATGCTCGTTGGGTCATTTTTTTCCCACCACCTTTTTTTTTACAGGGTTCACGCATTAAAAACAGAATTCCCAGTACACAAATGTTTGATTCACTCATCATATATATGCAAGAAAATTCCATCTCAAGTCCATGATTTGTGAATACACATGACAACTTTATTCAGAGCAGAGTCATTAGGAGCAGTTTACAACATAGCAATCAAGCAGTTGCCTGGCAACATTTGCACATTACCTCACACTTGGCCATCTGTTCTCCATCGCTCAGAGAATCCAATTCAAAATGCCTTTGAGACCTTGTAAATACACTCATTATTATTATGACTTGAGGTAACAGTGCCCCTTGAATAGTCCATACATTTAATGATGAAAGCCAACACTGCCAAGCTCAGGTGTAAAGGGAATACCGTTAATTGTGGAGATGTTGGCCATTTTCAATGACGCAAAGAGAAATTGGCCTCTTCATGGTCAACTCAAAGTGGCACAGTTGTGAGCAACAATTGTTGCTATTCCTAACTTAATGTGTGGTGTGTAACACAAGTGAAAGCTATCAATGAGCTCAGCTAATGCATACACACTCATCTTAATTTTCCCACGAGTGATTACAACTTGTCAAAATGCACAGACACCTCAAACTTCAACAAAAGCCAGATTGGTCTACCGACACAGAGTATTTCAGTTTTGTTTTTTTTTTCACTGGATTCCAAACACTGTTACACAGTTCAGCGTAAGCTCCAGCATCGTCGTGTGAGGGAATTGTAAACCTCCGCTTCAAAAAACACAGAGTTGAAGAAAGCTCAGCCGGGCTTGCACAATCCTGTCAGGATATCTATGGGCCCTGGGCATGAATGCTCGAGGGCACTTTGAGGTATGCATGTACTTGTAAAAATGAAATGAGGGTATGGCATTGGTGACCAAGGTCTAGGTCCCCACATCACTTATCACAAATGAAAGTGAACTAATTTTGAAAATGGCGTCGGCAATATTGTGACCTATGTGGAGTATTCTTCCTGCCAGAACACCGCAAGTTCAGGCACGCAAATGCAACAGACACATTTTCCCCATTATGAATTTAAGATATGCCTTCTCCTCACTGCCGAGTTTTAATATCACATACAGCCAGAGGGCCCTTTCATGGCTCGGTTAAAATCACAATCAAAGAATCTCGGCTGACTAAAGGAGCAGCCTTAGCGTGTTTCACATGGCATTTTGAACTGCATGTTAGCATTCATTCCGCAACCAAGGATTCTGTGTATACAGGGTAACAGCAGAACCTCTGCACTAGCACAAGTGCACGAGTGAAAATCGGGGGTCGTGAATGCAAATTCCATTTTTATTAGAAACAAATGTATACGTGTGATGTTGGGCGAATACAAGTCAATTCACACACTCCAGAATGCCTTTACACTTGTCATATTTCTACTCCTCGCCAGGCAAGACCTTTTAAATCCGGTTAAGAATAACACAACGGACTGCAACATTGGCGTATGTTTTCCACAAATGATACAGGAGTTCCTAATCCATGTGAGCACCTCTGAAGTTCAGGTAAATTCATGAGTGTACTTAGAACCGATGTCTAGGTTTGACTTTGTTCTGCATTCTCCATGTATCTCCCTCTGTATTTGAATCAGGCTTTTGCCCATAACTCCCTTTTAATAGTAACTCTTGTGTACTAATATTCAGTGTAAAATTTGTCCAATGCTACCACACTGTCAACAAGGCAACACTTAGCTCTACACCTTGCAAAAATGCAGAGACTCATGTACTGCAGGAAGGCATCTGTATGTGACATTAAACAGGAATATCTATCGGTGAGATTAACACCTTACATTCACAAGCTCTACATGACACCATTTCACTATCTTCTTCCAAAAACTGACCCCACAGACTTGGCTTTTTTCTCTGAATACATCTAAGAGACTACGATTTCACAACATGGGTGAAGGCACAGGCTAGTTGTGTTATTTGCATTGCTGCAACAGCTGTTGAATAATTTATTCACACTCAAAAATATCCTTTTTTTTTGTTCTATGTTACAGAGTGATCTTGCACTTATAAACTTTAATTCATTTTTCCATCCGAAGAATGCTTTCCGGCTTTTTCTGCTCTCAAACCAACGTTCATATAAATATTTTATATCATATGCGCAGGTGCATGTACTAGATGAAACACTGCAGAAATTGATTGACACTGGCTTTGAAGACGACTATTACACACAGAAATCTGTGTACACAAACTATTATCAACGGGCTAATTACACAAACAACATTTGGACACGGGTTGCAAGACAATGGAAGCATTTGTGACTGCACTTAAGTACAGATTTAGATTAATCTTTGGTAGCACATTCTTTGATAATGGTGTGGTTGCTGGAAGGGAGCTTGGGGTCAAAACGGACCCCGTTGCACAGTGAAGCCTGCTTCAGGTTCCAGTAAGACATGGTACCAACCTCTGTAAGCATAGGCAAGATATGATCAGCTATGTTCATTAATGCCAAAAGACAGATTCCCAGAACCCAATGTCAACTGGAACATTCTAGGTGATGGGCAGCAAAACTCTTTTGGAGACAAAAACGGGGGAAAAATTGGGGGGCAGGGGTGCGACTTTACTGATCAAACTGTCTGACCTAGTAGCTCTCCACGAAGCTTCCAGGGAAGAGACCCGTTTTGCCTGTCCTTTGCTGCGTGCCCTTGAACCATCCATCCTCCCGCTTGTTGTGAACGAAGACCGTGTCGCCCACCTTGAGTTCCAGCTCGGCGTCGGTGTTTGGCGGGTAGGGGACTGTTACTCGATAGCTGAAACAAAAAAATTGAAATATTGCTACAAAATTACTGGGTACCTTTCTCATGGCCAAAGTTTAATTTGGGATTGGGACTGGAAATGTCATAAACGGGGAACATGAAACTTATCTCATAATTTAGAACTGTAATTTTTGGCCCTATCTCCAAGGACACGTTTACTCTGAACTGTCATCAGACATGCAATGTCTTACTATAGGACAATAAGCCTTTTTCGATATCGAGAAGTTGCAATTACGACTCAAACTTTAAGGACACATAACATCAGGAATACTGCCATTTTTCTCAAATTCACAGAGGATTTTGTGCACAATCTGCTATTCTGACTGGTTAAAGACTTTAGCTTTATAAACTTCATAATTACACAAGCATTTTTCCTTTGGAATTTGGTTTACCGTTCTCGGACAAGTGGAGTTGTCTTGGGTGGCTTGTCCCTTCTCTCTACGGCAGTAGCACCGTCGCTGACACCCTCAGCCCCCTGGGATGTCTCTTCCCCACTCCCCTCCCCCTGCGCACCAGCTGGGGAGGTGGACAGGGTGAGACTAGGGTTGGGGCAATGCTCGGTGGGCAGAGCCTCCTGTCCGTCAGGGAGGGAGCTGCCACGGGCCAGCGGGACCGGGGCTCCTTCTTCAGGACTCCCCTGGGCTCGCTTTTTGGAGACTTTACGATCCTTCTTCTCCTTCTGCAGTGAACACAGAAGTCAAATAATCAGTTTCAAATAAACCCGAGAGGATTCTGCAAACATTTCCAACAGCTGTATTTTTGAGTACCCCGATCTTAGACAGTCTGAGCTTGTTGGCAAATTTTGTGAGACTTGGGATGAAAGGCCCAGGGAGATGGTGTAGGATTCTGTGTGAGTTGGGACATACAAGGTTCATTGTGTGCAGTGTCTGACTTGCTGTACCAACTGATGGACTATGCTTGATTTTGTCGGGTTTAGTACTGTTCAGTGCAAGTCATCCTATATTGCATAGACCCATCCATACCATATCACTCAAACTCCAACGGGCTCATTCTGTTGGAGTTGATCAGGTTTGGTACAGTCACCTGCATGTACAAGTACATTGACAAGTACACTATACATATACCCGCTGGATTTTGTGAGGTTCAGTGTGCTTTCTAGTGCAGGAGCCTAGGGGGTTAGGGTTAACAGGGATGCCAGGTAGAGTCTGAAATGAAGGCCAGAGAAGCCTAAATATCCCTTGTTGGGGCATAAAATTAGTCCAACATTTCAAATGAAAACCTTGAAATTAGGCTTATGCCTGAAAACTGGCATTCCTGTATGAATACATCTAACAGGGTATATTCTCCTTTAGAAAAAAAACTGCCACAGTTTAAGCTGATTACTTGACGACCTCCAGCAAGTTTTGACAAGCAGCAGCTCAAAAAGCAAAAAAACACAAAAACAACAACAAAAATGACTTTTAAACGTTTTTTAAGCAGTGCCAAAAATCGTGCCTCAAATCTTAACCTCCACAGGTGCGGCATTTTGCAAGTGTGCTGATAGACAGACACTACCACAGCAACAAGTGTAAAACGGAAAGCTGGAAAGAAAATCATTATCTCAGAGAAGTACGCACGAGATAAACTGCAGAGCTCCTTACCTTGTCCGTCTTACCAGGACCGGCAAGGGAGGGCGCTACACAATCAGGTGCGGTGGCATTTGGTGGGGGTGCAAATGACATTGTATCGGATACCCTGTATATACTAGGACTACTAGGCTTGCTGTGCGGAGGCTGCATAGAGGAAGGCATTACAACAGTTTGCTTGCTTTGGTGGGGCTGTGGTGGTGATGACGATGCTGCCGTTGTGGCAGCAAGGCTATTGCTAAGGGAAGGCTTGCTGGGCTGTTGGTGTTGCGGCTGTGAATAGGGCTGACCAGAGCCGGAAGCAACAGGTTGCATTTGGGCATTGCTTTGTGGCGGGTGCTGCTGGGAGGTAGCGGCTTTGGCTTGCACTGTCCTGCGTGACCGCACCGGGTCGTTGTCGCTCTCACTGTGACGCCGTGGTTTCAGGGCCTGCTGCTGTTGCTTGGCCTGGCCTTCTACGGCCGGTAATTGTGCAGAGTGACGTTTGCCTTTGGCACTGGAGCTACTGAGGTGGACCTCTACCTGTGGGGGAGTGGACTGGGGCAGGTTGGCACCGGTGCTTGCTCCCCTGGGTGACCCCTGACCCAAAACAGGTGATCCCCGTGGCCTTGAGACAGCACTGCCTCCATCAGTTGTGGCCGTATTGTCCAGCGCCCCAGGTTGAGGTGAGCTGGGGCTTCGTCCTCTCTGGATTAGTCCATTATGAGTCGGAGGTGATCCCACTGCAGCTTGTCCAGAAGATGCCCTTGGCCGAACACTGATGGGTGCACTTGATATCCCTGTGTGTCGGGTTTGTACACCTTGTGACTGCGGCATTGGCAGTTGCAGGGTACCAGCAGGACCCAACTGTGCCTGTCCGATACTAGTTTTTGCCAACGTGGCAGCAGTTTGTGTCCCCACAGTAGGGGGACTCCCCCTGACATTCCTGTCGGAATGGGTTGATGTGGCCCTGGCCTGCCCCACTGATGAAAGACCTGGGCGTACTGGGTAATTAGGCGGGGGAGGTCTGAACTGCAATTGCTGGGCAGCGCGCTCACTCTGGAGCTGTGCAACAGTTTTCTGTCCATCAGGAATTTGCGACATGGCCCTGCGCTCCATCTGTGCTGGCTGGGCAGGGGGCATGGATTGGGCCATCTGGCCGGCAGGCCGAGAGGCGCTGGCAACAGGCCGGGAACCAGTTGTTTGAGTTGTGGCTGTGCTTTGACTAACAGGCGGCGACGTCATGGAGGCATCAGTTGTTGCTGCTGCAGCTGCAGCTGCTGCAGTGCGCTGGGCCGCCATCCGCGAGGCGGCATCACTCAACACCCTCGGCCTCATCCCCTGCATGGGGCTAGGGCTACCGGGGGCCTCAGAGGGCGGGGCTCGCTGGGCTGTGCTGGGGGCGGCCCGTGATGCTGCATCGCTAGGTAGGCGTGGCCGGATGCCCTGGCTGGCTGATGAGGTAGCAGCAGGCGTGGCCTGCAGGGGTCTAGAGTCGGCAGCTGTGGTCGTTGCTTTTCTGGCAGGTCTTTCATGCCTGCGGATAAGTCAACAAGTGCACCCCTTAATCCCATTCAGTCAACTAATTGGCTATCAGCACAAATGACAAAGGGATTTTGGTATCTAGCGCAATCATCCCTAGGGCTGACACACTGGATGTGTGTTAGATGTGTGTCAGACATGTGCGCGTATCAGTGCTGTAGTCGGGACCAATTGAGACCTTCACAAGACCAACACAAGACCTCCAGTCTGCATTCACGTCACAGGCTATTAAATGAACTGCAACAAAAGCATTCCTTTGTCATTGTTCACATTGTTACTTGTAACTGGTCTTGTGTCTGGGTCTTGTGCATGGTCTTATGTATGGTCTTGTGATGGTCTCAGCTGCAATCTGGCGCATATGTGTGTGGATGAAACAGATTATGCACGAGTGATGTTTACATCATAAAGTCCACACAAATTGTTCCTTCCACAAAAACATATATCGCCCTGAAAAGGCAAGTAACAATGTGCCAAGAAATACCAGTTATGTATAAACAACTTGTGATTTCACTGCAATGTCTATCACAAGTCACATTTTTGATCATGAGATTGAAGAGACAAAAGCCACAAAGTGCACATCAAAATTCCACTTTCAAGAGAGTTAATGCCTCAGACTTCAGTTTCCTTCAATCGATTTTTAAGAACTCAAAAAGGTAGATCAGGGAAGACTGGTACCTGTAAGCCTGCATGTAGTTTCCAGGGAACACACCTAAGTCACCGGTCTTTACTGACATCCCCTTAAACCAGCCATCTTTGCATTTCTCTGTCACGGTGTAGAAGTCGCCCTTCTTGAGTTCCAGTTCATCTGCCTTGGTGGGCTTGAAGGAGTACATAGCAATGTAACTGGGTTGAGGAGGAGATACACACAAGACTTCAAAGTCAACAAGTTGAGAAGCAAGGAGCAAAAGGATCATGGATGGTGGCTATCCATGCAAAGTTCAAGTACTAATTTCTGGCAAAGAAGACACCGATTGGTGGGAATGTCTTTGTAACCGGGTTTGTGTACGCATCCCAGATACCTGCAATGACCGTATATTCAAACAGACATTGCTCACAGGTGTTTAGTGCAGGTTGCATCAAACCTGTATCTCCATGCAATAAGTTCCTAACAAAAGACCATCACAGCATGTCTTATTTCAACTCGCAGCAGGTTGGCGCACGGAACAGACTTGCCACGAAGCCAGACATCATGACTTATACGCTTGGCAACTGCCCAACAAGTTAACTGTGAATAAGTTTTTGTCACACAATATTAAGTTTAATACTAGGTTTAGTAACTACTGAATTCAGTTCAACTACTGAATGTATATGTACTGCTTACTTCAATCCCGTCATTTTTTTCTCAGTAAAAAGTAGGAAGTATTAAAGTATACAATGCCTAGTAACACTGCGTCAGTGTCAGGCAAAGACCTTCAGCACCTGCTAGGCCTTTACCTCTTTCATGGATCTTCCAGCCCTAAGATAAACATGACCTCTCCATCAAGGTAATATCTAAACCAGCAGTGCAACACTTGCAAACACGATACTAATGCAGGGAGTCTTGCTCTAGGCATCTGAATTATTCAGTGATGTGTCATGTGCATAAAAATGGTTCTGTGATGAGCTGATAAAACTGGGCAAATGCTGCAGCATAGCACAGATATGTATGAGGTATCCTGACAACATTCCTGATATAAGATGGCTGGCATGCATGACTCATCTTCTCCGATCAGAGATAGGCTGGGGTCAATTTCATAAGGCCGATAAGCACAGAAATTTACTTGGCCAAGAAATGGGGAGCCAAAGTTTGTAACCAGCTAGAGTATCATGCGTTTCATGTTTATAGAGGCAAGGTCTGAGCAGTTTAGTGGTCTGTTTTGCTTAGCACATGAATTTCCAACATTATTTTTTCCTCTATGAAATTTTCCCCCAGTTCCTAAGGTACCAACAGATATGATGTCATGGTAAAAGTTGCTTAGAGTTGACCCTTACGCTTCTCCTTAAACTTACACTTCTACTTTTGGCTTGGGTGAGGCTGGTGCCTCTCCGACGAATCGGAACTCAGCATTGCCAGCCTGGGTGACAGTCGGGGAAGCAGCCACGCTAGGCGAGTTGGGCCCTCGAGTGCTGCTAGCAGGAACCTAGAAAAATAGAAAATTGATACATCATGATGAAAGGCAGTGAATGCTTGAAGGGGTTTCATTTTGACATTATTTACTCAGGCATCTTGTCTAATATAAGTCATGGATGGGACAGTTTACAAATTGTAACATTTAAACAAACAAAAACAAACAAACAAACAAACAAACAAACCAAAATTTTCAAAATCCAGCAACAGTATATGCATCATCTGTCCTCCAATTTCACGTGAAAACAGAAATTATGTCTGTAAAATTATTTCTCACAGTAGCATGACAGGCACTGTGGTATGTATCTATAGTGTTTGATGGTTTCAATACATGGTATCTATGGTATTGATCATTGCTCACAGAACTGCCGACATGCAACCTGGGTGTTGCATAAAAGCTAAGTGTTCAAACAGTGTAGAAATTTAAACTGTTTGAAGTGCTTGGGAAAAGTTTCAAAAAAATTGACAAAATTAAAAATGGATTCCCATTCATAATACTGGGGTTATAGAAACTGGACGTGAAGCAAGATCTAACCTGTGAAATGCCAGTTAGAGGAGCTGGCTTCTTCCGTGCAGATACTGCTGCTGATGCCTCTCCTGCTGCTGCTGTGGTACCAGCACTCGTGGAAGCCGCTGCGGTACCAGCCGCAGCCTGCTGCGACACCGAGGTCGCCTTGCTGTCAATGAGGTTGGCCGCGGTGGGATTGCTGGAGCGTACCAGGACGGGGGAACTGATCTCCATGGAATGCCGGTTGCTGTTGCTGCCGCTGCCGCTTGCTGCAGCACTGCTGGTGCTGGTGCTTGCACTGGTTGTGGTGCTTGGCTGGGGGTCCTTGCTCTTGCTCTGGGCAGAACCGCTCAGGCCCAGGAGAGAGGTGAAAGAGTGGCGTTTGGCTTTGTTTTTACTGAGAAGGCAAGTAGTGAAATAGCATACCATTTTTTGCACGTCATACAAGATTAGAAGAAAATCTACTCTAGCTATAATAAAATTAAAAAAGCAAAACGAAAAATTATTTACTTTGCAACAAAAAAACAAAGAAACAAAGAAGTTCTGACCTTTCTCTGGTTTTTACATGTATTACTGTGGTTGATTTGTATAATTGTAAAGTGAATGTAAGTATAAATGAAACGATGCAAGAATGTACAGAGGCAGTTCTCTGTGTACATAACCCTAGAGATGTCTCATCTGTCAGACAATGGTACCAGTTACTTTTCAGCACGCAGTCTAAAGCCGTGTTCCCAATTGGACTTTTTCTTCCGGGCACACAGAAACTTACTGCGACATTCCTTTGTGTCCATCTATCCCGCATTCCCACATGGACTTTTTTTAACCGTAACAGAATGTTTACTTGCAGTGTTAGGCCTAATAAGACCAGCTGATTACACTACCTGCGCTGTACAAATCATGACGAAATTGGCAAAATCTAGCAAAAACAAAGACCAAAATCAGACGAATTCGGCCAAATCTGCCACGAAGAGAACGAACCCATACAGGATAAGCCTTGTACACAATGTGTGCATAGCTTTATCCAGGAACGTTTCACTGTGTATGCAAGGCATGCGAGGTTCGCAGGTTTAGCACGGTCGCAGTCAGTCTACATTGTATGGGAATTGTTCCCATGGGACTTTTTTGCGCCCCTGCTAACTTACTGTGGATGCGCAAAAATCTTCCACGACCCTTTTTAGCCTGTTAGATTTATATTGCGATTGCGGTAAGTTGACAGGGTTGAATTTAATTTTGTAATTCTACAGGAAAGCCGCGGTAAGTTAACCAAAAAAAGGTCCAATGGGAACACGGCTGATATGGTTGAAACTATGAACAACTGGCGTGTACAGTGGGCCAGTTTTCTGAGGACGGATGCAAGGGAATGCACCGAATTCAATTCAAGAGGTGCTCCTTGAAAATTTTCTTTAAATTGCAGCTTTGGTGGGGGGGGATAGGCAGCTTGCTGTTTCGGTGACAGGAAAAATTGCTACATGAATAATTACATTTCTCCATCAAGAGGTCACAGCCACCAATTATTACCCCTTGTTCCCAGGAGATTTATGACACTGACCTGCCACCCTCCTGACTGGATCCCGCCTGATCGGGGCTGCTCCCTGCATCCCCGCTACCTTGCGACTGATGGGGCGGTCCGGAGCTGCTATCAAGACCAGCGTGTGCATCCACCAGCGCCTTGGCTGTACCATTGAGCTGACGGGGGAGGCATGAAGGACAGTATTGGAAAGAAATGGCTCTCATTTGGTGGTTTCAAGTACCAGCTTGTCTTGCAGCCATCAGTTTTGTTTATGGCTACAGCAGGTTTTTAAACTGGAAAAAACAAACAGTGTGCCGCTTCACTGGGCACTTTATAAGAAAAAGCGGGTCACGATTTGTGTGCCATTACGCAAAAGAGACTTGGCTTTATTGATCTCCTGTTTGCTTTTGCCATTGATGAGAGGGGATGAGTTGTTTACCCAAGGTGAAGTTTATGTTCATGGGAGACAGTAGACCAGTTAATGATGCCCTTGAGCGGAATAACCAACGTGACCATTGGGAAAACAAACCCAAGGACTCCATTTCATGACTGTGCCTGTACAGGTAACGCTGTGAAATGTCCTATTAAAAACCGGCACTTCAGACAAGTGTTAACATGCAGACTACAGAGAGTGTCAACGGGTTCAAGTGTTTCTGTACTCTGCACACAAAAAAGCTGCATTTAACGGGTTAAATTTACATTATTCCTCACTCCTCGAGATGTTTTCTTAATTGTTTGAACCACAAAAATGGACAAGATACCATTTCAAATTACTTATATGTAAAACCTGTTGGGGGTAACAAGCCCAACATAAAGTAAGGTGTGGCTGGGTATTACCTGTCTAAACCCTGCAACATCCCCGAAATGCCAGGCGGAGTTTAAGGATTATTGAAGCACTGAAGCTAATACAGCCCAAAAATAAATCTGAATGTACTAAACTTCCAAGATCCATATGATTGATCAGTCACTCAATCACAAGCCTCACATAATAAAATCTACTGAATATTGATTTGATTCATTTCTTCACTCAAACTTGACATGTTTAACAACAGTGAACAAATAACTTTATTAAATATTATATGTTATCAACACTGATATAAAAATTGGAGAAACACTACATAGAAATATTCAGAGCAAAACAAACCCCCCCAAACCAAACTTACAATTCTGGAAAATGTCTATGAAATGGCAAAAGTTGAAATTTGCCCATGAAGCAAGGCCTTACCTCTACAAATGACAGTGGGAAGATGCCTATCTTGTCTCCTTTCTTGCCTTCCACCCAGTTCTCATCAACACGCCTGATCACATTCAGAACCTCATCCTGGAAGATAGAGGACAGAGCGGCGAAAGGAAATCATGTCTGATCCAACTTAAAGGCAAATTCACTGAGCAGAAACAAATGCCTCACTTAATTAAATGTATATGAATATACACTTTGTTGAATGGTGAGGCATTACAATCCTGAGCTAAGATTCAGTAAGCACTAGTAACAATCAATGAGGTTTGAGTTGGAAACTTTTTTTGTGCCAAGCAAGCACATTTATTTACCCTGAAGCTGCACTGGTAAAGCCGTTTCAAAGCTGATTTTTTTCCATAAATGCGGGCACTGAAATGCTGGGAACCAGATTCAACTTACACCGTTACTAATATCTGGAGATTTCTAGACATCCCATACAATGCAGCCACTTTATTTCCTGATCATACAATAGGAAAGATTTGGCCGAAGAGTAGATTTCTGTTGATGACACCATGCCTGAAGGTACACTGTCCATGTATATGTACCAGTACAGTACACATGTAAACACTTAATGAACTGACAGCCATAAACCCTAACCCACTAAGGCCTTTTTGACTAAGGCGCATCCTCAATCTTCCAATGGCCCAACTTCAAAAACTGCTTTTATCCTCAATCCTCCTTTCTTTTTTTTTGATTATGCACAATGTAAGATACCTGAATCTTCCATCCTCCAAAATCCTCCATGGCCCTACTTTGGGTTTGTATGTTTTTTGGGAGGGGGGAGGGAGGGTTGAGCACATTTGGTTGGCTGCTGGGCTGAAGCTGTTTTTTGGCAGAATTGGCTAGCAGCTTTACTTTTCTAATCAACAAAGCAGACATATGCCTTTTTAAAAACACACTGCAGTTGAGGGATTGTGTAATTTATGACCAGCAGCAGTGAACAATGGAACACACTGTCCTTGGGTACATGTATACTGTAAACAGTATAATGTGTCACCATATGCGCCACTATGTGACTGATTTTTAGTACTTCATTCACCAGTCATCCTCAATCCTCCGAAATCCTCCAGCTTTAAACAGCATTCATCCTCAATCCTCCGAAATCTTCCAGCCTTTAAAACACTTTTCTTCCTCAATCCTCCATGCTTCAATCACCATTCATCCTCAATCCTCCAAATTCCTCTAATGTTCAAATCATCATTCATCTTGAGTCCTCCGAAATCCTCCAAAGCCACCCAATGGTAGGTTAAGGACTATATCACCCGAGTGTCACTTCTGTCCTTAGACAAGTTCATCAAACGTGAAAATCTTTAAGTGCACAAACTGAACTGGCACACAAGGCCATATTTACATACCATACATGTACATGTACGCCTGCTACACAGTCTACTTTTTACCAGTAAATATCATAACATCCCTACTTCAAATTTACTCCACTGTTCACTTTATTTCCCAGTGAATCCCCCTTACCAAAATCAAGACATTTACATGTACGTGCTGTTCCATGTGAGTCTGGTTTTCTTCCATACAGCCCTTCCCAGGGCCCCCCCATCAGTGATGCATTTTACAGCTTTCCCTTTGCATATGATAGTGCCCGTTCACTGCATAATAAGCCCTTCATACATGTCTTCCATACAGGACAGACGTCCAAGGTTCCCATCTCTTAGGCGCAAGGTGCGATCAAATGTAATTTGGCTTGTCAGGGGATGTCCTCAGCTTACATGGGCCTTGTATTCAGACTTTGAAACATGTCTGGCATCTCTATGAACGAGAAAATGAATACCATGTTTTATCTATCTTCAACTTTCAAGTACGCTTGAATCAGAATGTACATGAAGTTAAATTGATATGCTAAAAAATTGTAAAACTGCCGCCAGAATTTCCAAAGAAGAGATCACTAACATGAGATGGTAAAAGCATCAAGAGTCAGATTTCCCAAAGTTTGTGCATTCTTGAGACTACTGTCATATTCTTGCAAAATGTGGCAAATGATAGTCATTCCTGTGGGACTGTTTTTTCAAAATCGGTTTAGCATGTTCCAAAATGGATTGACAACAGTGAAAGCCGAGTACTCTTCAAGATATGGGGGGGTGGTTGATTGAGGCAAGGCATGATGTGAAAACCAGGAGAAACGTAATATGAGGGGGAGCCCTCCGGCTTGTGCAGGAGAAGTAAGAGAATGCTGTGAGTCACGTCAGTGGCATTTAGTTTCATGTGTCAATGCCTGGTGACAAGGCCAGCGTCATCATCCAAATTTTCAGCTGGGAGGCATCGGGTCTAGGAGGTTAAGGAGAAATCGCTGACTGGTTGATGAGATGTGCTGGAGGTAGGATAACCATGAAGCAAGGACTTGATGCTCAAGATAAAAAAAAGTTGCCTGGCACTTTGTAAAGGGTGCACTTTAACGGGATGGAATCCATCACGAGCCTCATTCCAAATGGCAAGCCTCCAAGCATGACACTGCAAACCAACCTTTGCTGTAAGTCAGGAGCCAGTTTCGCTGGCAGCCCACATGAATCCTCCCAACTTTAAAAAAATCATGCCCAGGATCGGAAGGAAATGGCGCATTCTTTGTGCTTGCATCTTGGGAGGCACGACACCCCAATGGTAAGCAGCAGCAGCTGAGCTCTACTTTCCTAAATCCTATAAAATCCCACAAAGAGCTTCTAAGGTTTTTTAAGGGTCTGCAAAAGTTGACGATGCTCCAGCTGTGAACATGGTATCATACACCTTTAAAAACACACCACCCTCCAATGCATGGAGGAACTACAACAAGAGGTTTCTTCAAAGAACACTGACACTTTTAACCACTGATGAACAGCAATGTATCAAACACAATCTTGAGGCCAATGCACACATACAGTGTATGAATCTTATGCACAAAGGTTCTGATATCCACTCAAAAATATTGCCGCAGTACGCAAAGCAGTGTCCTTATCAAATACAGAAAAAAAGAACAGAAACTATCACAATCTACGACAAAATAAGATTTCTGAAGCAAGGTTAAAGAGAAAACCTCCAATAGGTGATGTAGCAGGGTCGATCAATAAACAGGTTGACATATGATCCATAACTTTCAATCACTCAACTATCTGCTTAGTAGTCGTCAGCAACAAAATCTTTATCCAATCACAAGAGGCATCTTAAACTGAATTCCATTGGTGATTACTGACAATCTTCAAAGCCCAGAGATGCCACTTTGCAAGAGTGACCTACCTTGTTGAAGGTAAGGCAATCCTTCTCCTCCTCCTCGTTGACCTCAAAGTCATACAGTGCCTTGCACTGGGGCGGGTCGGGAGGGAGAGGGGTTAGCACCTGCACGTAGCTGGCTGGGAAGAAGCCTATCTGATCCCCCGCCCCCATCACCACGCCCTGGTACCAGTTGTCATCGATCTTCTTGTGCAGCAGGATGATGTCCGACTTGTTGAAGGAGAGGTCGCTGTTCAGTGGGGGAAATAAACAGAAACAAAATTCAATGGGTGAAATGACAGATGTTCATACGTCACACCAACTACATTTAACTAAATCTTTGTTGATATCTATCAGCAAAGAACTTCTTTTCTGGATCCTCCAAAAGTTTGCAATGTACAGGAACAAATGGAGGATTTGTTGCAAATAACCTTTTGCAAGGCATTACAATACCCATCAAATTCAAGCCAAAGGTACTTTCAAAAGCAACACTTGCAGGCTCAGCCCCCAACTCTGTCAAATACCCCCAAACCTCAGCCTGTACTCCAGAGGATCTGGAAGGTTAAGCTTAAATCTGTTGGCGCACTTGAGAAGTCCAATGTGCAGAGCACAAAAGCCTGTCACATAGCATCCAAAGAGGAACAGTGATGGAACAGACAAACAGTGATGGAATACTCACCCGTGCTCTTGAGCATCATATTTGTACAGGGCCATTGCACATGGTTGGTTCTGTATAGAGGTCTGTGGAGAACAAGACAAAACATGAAAGACACTATCAACTCAAACGGAAGTAACAGGGTTAGTTACTAAAACCCTGTAGAATTCTTCAGTGTGAGAAAAACTACAAAACCCACATACGAGTACACTGGTTCATATTTCTTCATCGAAATTAAACACTCAAATCAGATTTCATTTGTAATTTAAGTCTAATGGGAAATGGAATCTACTGTCTTAGGCAATACTCCTGCCAATTCATGCCCTGCGAAATGTCACACAGGATGTGAGACTTCAAATTCATAGCAACTGATGCTGTCAAAATTAACAGAACATGTTTTAAGAAATCAGGATGATTTGCCCCTGCTTGACAATTTCTCTGGACCCCTTTTTACGAAACTTCCAGAAAAAGGCTACCCGTTTTGATACATGAACGCATAATCATTTCAACACCATCAGAAGCAATGACAGTGAACATGGGCAAGTCACAGCCCTCAATTTTCTACTATTCCTTACTACTTTATTCCAATTCAGCAAAGTAATTTATAGCAAAATTTCAACAAAGCATAGTGAACATATGGTGTAAAACATGGGGGGAGATCTGTGAACAGATTAAGGACTCTTGTTCCCTGCTGTAAGGGCAACAAACACAATTTATGTTTCCCTGTAAAAATCACCCCACAGGCAGGAGCTCTCACCGGTCCATTTACACCTGGTAAAATTTATGAGGCCTTTTAAAGCACAAAGTTGTTACTGAACATAAAATAGGATCATAATGTACCAGAGAAGGAGAAAACATTGAAATTCCTCCAAAACAAAATTATTCAATCCCTGGGATTACAACGTCAGGCTACGACCTTAACTTGACCCCTTTTTGGCTTTTTTCTTTTGCAAAAGACCACCAGCAACCCTTCATTCTTTTAAAGCTACCTTTTCAAATGGGGTAATTGTATCTTCGAGAGCAATCACCCCTTGCAAAGATCCCCCGTAATTTAACAAAACAGGCCCTAGGCCCTCCACTAGTTTAATAAGTACTTATTAATAACTTTCAGGCCAGAGATCAAATCTGGCGGGAGACTTTTTTTTCTCCTGTTTGCCCTGGAGTCTGTCAGATTTGGTTTCTAGTTGATGCCCAACAGCTGGTCGGTGTTGATGGAATGGCCCCCTAAATATGAGTCTGTAATTACAGAACGGAACAACTTGTGATTAAATTTCTCCTCTGAGATGGTTTCATTATCCTCTCAGGAAAGATATCACTCCAGAAACTACTACTCATAAATGCCAAAGCACATTAGTGGGCAAGCGAAACTTACAACCACTATAAAATTCTGGTTTTAAGTGTGAGGAACTTAATGTGCTAGTGCTGAGTGCAAAAACAAAAAAATCAATTACATAAGGCTTCAATTTCAGCTACAAAATTTAGACTTGGCAAAACAGTGATATATTGCTATTCTATAACCCTAACCCTCCTCAATCCTTCACCTGTTGGAGGACTGAGGAGTGTTAGGGTTAATGCACATGTATACATCTATGTGTAATGTACATGTACATCAAACCTACACATATCATTATGGAGTTTGAATGGCCATAGGAAACTTCAACTACTGTATCTTGATGCTTTCTGCGCTGTCTATTACAGCAAGTCTGACTTTAACCACAATACACCACGTGTGAACTCCCCACTGTGCTACTCCCCCATTTCACACTTTCTGGGAAGTCCACCCCCATTGAACCGGGGTCATGACCTGGAAAAAAAAACCCGCATCCATATCTACAGGGCAAGCACTTGGGTAAGTTCAATGGACAGGCGTTCGATGCAAAAAATTCAAGTCAAGGTACAGATATTTGTCTCCAGGGAAAATTTAACGAAAACACAAACAATACCACAAACTCAAACTGGGTTGAACAGTTCTTGGAATGCCCTCCCTTTCTGGTTCGTTCATTTGAAAAAGAAAGATGATGCACGCTGCATTTCCATGTACTCATACATGTTCGTCCAACTTGTGTAAAAGAAACACAAATGCGAGAGCATGTACTAAATATTTCAAAAATACAATTACAAAACAGTCTGGGTGCATAAGATGACAAATCAAAATGAAAATGTGTCATCTTTACTTGTGAATCAAAGAGCTGAGTCTGGTGTCCAGACCTGCCTGGTAAACTGGTTCAAACCTTGAACCCGAGAAAAAAAACAAAAATTAAAGCAAAACCAGTATGTGCAAAGCCTCCATTTACAGTATGCACATGTAAATGTAGGTAGGTCTACATGTAGGCCTATATTCACACCACAATCAGCTTGATCTGCATTACATCTATGCTCCAACACTTATCACTATGTACACAAATGTTTCATGTCCAAATATCCTCTCCTCAGCCCCCCTCATTAATTCCTGCACAACTTGGCATTTTGCTGAGTGAGTGGTGGGCCCACAGTCTAGGCTCAGCTGGTGGCAAAGGCAACAGGGACCTCCTGACGAACCTCCCTTGACCTCCGCTGAACCCTGGCCTGCCAAGGGGGTGAACTTCTTACTCCATCTCTCATGTGTCCCATGAAATGTTATGAAATGATTCTGTGATGAAGGATGTAAAGCTAGGGGGGATTATTATTACACTTTCCATGAAACCTATTGAGCCAGATTACATGAACTGCACGGCATGAGGGAATGTACGATGTATATACCGGGTATGTCAAATTTTTCGTTCTCAAAAGAGGTCTTCCGTAATACCCTACACTGTGCTTGACAATGCACAAGTACATGTACATTCAGGCAAAAGTGCTATAGCTTTAAGATTGGTTTGAAAGTTGTAATACCAAGTAAACTCCCATAACTACCTTTACTTAATTAAACAATGTCCAGACAAGGTCAGTACATAAAACCAGATGTAATGAAGTGATAATGAAATAAACATGAATGTGCATTCAAGCTCTTGGCCTAACAGTGTGCATGTAGGTCTACCTGTTTAGTACACAGTTGACATCAAATTGAAACAAAAGCGCTTAACAGTCTTTGCCATTTATTATGACAAAGACTGGACTGTGAGAGAATAATTAAACTTTGAAAGTTGCTCTATACAGGTTCACTTTTTAAACTTCACAAGCATGATCTTCATAATCTTGGAAAAAATTTCTAACACGTATGTAACTTTGTTTTTAAAAAAAATGTTTTGTTTCTTTGAGTAGTTGCAAAGGCAATCATTTAATTAAAAAAATGGATCCTCATAATCTGCTCTGTTGATAATACAAAATTCCCCCCCAAAAAGAACCTACAAATTTACGAAAAAGACCTCTCTGCAAAAATATCAGCATCTAAGTTGCCAAAAATAAGACGACCTCAAAGCTAAAAGCCCTTGCCCTTAACAAGACACAAGATCTGGGAGTAATTGATGGCCACATGTACCTTGACATAATAGGTCCAAGCAATTTCAGGGGCTGCATTAGGGGACAGGAAGTAATACCCTACTTAGTAAATAAAGTGAATCAGCATAGCCTGGATTAATTGGGGTTTTCATTTCATGTCAGGATCGATGCATGTCATGAACACTTCCTTCATATCATCAGCCAATGATTAGGATAGCACCTGTCACTGGTTCCCCCGAGGACCCAAGTAGCTGGTAAACAAACTCAGTCTCAATGATTTCGCCAGACTTGTAGGTGTACGGGTACATGTAATCACAGAGAACAGGCAAGGACATCTAGTAGGGGTAACCATCAGAAGTCGAAGGATGGACTTCAAACCAAAACCACTTTTTTGAAAAGACAAAAATGAGTCTTTTATGAAGTGTGACGCAGTCAACAAAGTTGCAAGACAAGTGTACATATAACTGCAATGCATCAGAAATTCTAACTATGTTCAGAATACAATGAATTTGTCTTAATATCTGAATTTGAGGTTCTTAAAAGCAACCCTACATTTCAGGATATCAAAAAGAACTTACAGGTAAAATGTAAACTTGCAAGATTACACTCCTGCCTACTTATAGACTTACTTACTTAACTGATACATGGTAATGATAGTTCAGTGTCAAACATGTAAGACAGTTGAAAACTACAGATGTTTTGCATCTTTAATTCGACTTCATACAAGCATGTAAGTGAAGACTGAAGATCAATTTCGGCAACATTTAACACCCAAATTTTGGATGAGGAAATTTAACAACCTCAATCAATCTTCAAAGAAAGTGACAAAAAATTGCTTTAGTATTCAAAATTTCTTCTTCTTTTTTCAACAATTACAGAAATATTACACATGTTCAGTGTTTGAGGGTCCTTATTTGGAGTTTTTTTATTTTTAATTTTTAATGGAGATTTAATGCAATATAACTTGCAGAACATTGAGAAATGCAATGTACGTGAAAACTTTTATAAGGCCAAACAAAAAATTAATTGTGTTTACTATTACATTACATTAAATAAATTAATGTGGTTGGTTGGGTACAAATTTTTTTTTGCTCTAAATCTTATAGCCCAAAAAAGTAGAGTCGAATGATGGTCTGAATTTTTGGGGGGTTGGGGGTGGCACATACAGCCTATTTGTAACAGGTACATGTCCTAAGTCAGTGTTAGATTAATACTGTACATGTGCACATCAATATCACATATCAGCAGTGATTGAGTAGTAACGCAGCTGGTTGTTGAAATACAAACACACAAGAGCCATCCATCTAGTGCAAAAAAAACTTTAAACGATAAAATATACAGGGCGATGTACACAAAATTAGGCTCACGGCAAGGCACCATAAGTTTTTATATTTTATTGATTTGACGAATAAAAAGACTGAGGTTCCGCGTAATTTTCTGGGTTGGGTCAGGTAACCAGAAACACAGCCCAATTTTTTTTTCTTTGGTCTAACCACCTCGATTACTCAATACCAGGTACCGTGTACATGACATTGATGAGACAGCAACACTGAGGTGAGAGTAAACAGCAATTTTAGCCTTTCTCCAAATGTAAGCTCAGCACGATTGTCAACCCAGACCTTCTAAACATTTTACTCGGCACAAACACAGCACAGAATACTAGCTCTCT